AGTGCTGTAATATGGTAGACTAAGTTATCTGGACCAATCCTCCCATTCAAACTAGAAAATGATGGATAAATGTTGAAATGAGTCTTCTTAAAGGCATCAGAAGGGTAACAAGGAGTAAAGAATCACCAAATCGGAACCTAACGGGAGGTACATACAGAAAAAAAACTGAGTAGAGGCTGGGCTCTGAGACGGCTTTTGCTTCCGGCATGGGCGAGGGTTGCCATGTTTGACTTGGGTTTGACAGCCTCGAAGGGCAAGGAGAAAGCTCAGCAAATCCAAGGCTGTCCCAGGTGGGAGCTACAGGGCCATTCCCTGCAGATGAAGCTGAGGTGCCAAGAGCTGTGCCTGAGGATGAGGGTGGAGCAGAAGTAAGCCTGCTGCCCAGAACGTCGGGAACAGAGAAAGTCACCCCAGTGCCGAGCGGGGTATGTGGGAAGGCAAGGTCCCTGAGATACTGTAACCACATCCAGGCTTTCCTTGGATGCTCAGCCTCAATTTACATCACCTGGGTTGTCCAAAAGAAACTTAAGACACTAATCTGGACTCAGGATGTCATGAGCTGGCAGTGTCCGAGGATGTCTGGCAGAAGCAAAAGCAATTACCCTTGGGAAAAAGATGCTTTCGCTGAAATCTTTCAAAGGTTATTCACAAGCAGTTCTTCAAGGATACGAGCAGCGTCACCGCAGCACAGACCGATTAACATACATTATTTAAGGACAAGACCAGCGTGAAAACATCTTTAGGGAACTGAAAGCTATAAAAGTGATCCAGCAGATTTGAGAAAAATTGAACCTCTGAAAATTACTAATCATAATAGAAAATTATATGGACAAGTGAGACAGATGTGATGGGGCTGAGCAAACAATCCATGAACCAGCAGATAAACCAGGAGGAATTATCTAGAATGCAGCATAGAGGGACAAACAGAGGGAAAATGGAGAAGAGAGGTTAAGAGACCCAGAAGAGAGAGGCGAGGGGGCAACAGCGTCCTCTGAAGAGAGGATGACAGAGAAATCCCAGACCTGTAAGGCCACCACACACAGCCTCACGAGGACCAGCAATTCCCAAGCAAAGTGAATACAAAGAAATAAATATCTAAACGTATCTTAGTGAAACTGCAGGATAATAGAGATGAAGGAAAAAGCCGCAAAAGCAGGTGGAGAAAAAATATTACTCTCCAGAAAGATCTTTAGAAAATCTCCAAATATCTGGAAACGAAATAACACACTTCTAAGTAGCCCAAGGGTCAAAGAAGAAATCGAAAAGGGAATCAGGAAGTGTCTTGAACTGAATGAAAATCAAAACAACATATTAAAATTTGTAAGATGCAGCTGAAGCAGAATTAAAGGGACATGGAGAGCACTGAATTCTGAGATCCCTCAAATCAGTGAATTGGATTAGAAATAAATAACAGAAAGATCTCCAAATGTTTGGAAATTAAACAGCACACTTTGACCCCAAAGAGGAGAAAGTTTTGCTTTCAGCCACGATGGAGAAGAGAGACTGGGTTTCCCCCTTTCCCCTCAGATGTCTATTAAACTGGACAAAATACATGAAACAAAGGTTTTGATGTCTCTCCCTCCCTTGCCTTCCCTCTTCCCTTTCTCCCCACATCCTCTCCTGTACTTATTCCCTGCTTCATTTCACAGAGCATTTGAGGAGTGTCATCATGTTGATCTCATTAGAAGAAAACCTCCTTGAAGCTGGTGGCTGGGTCTTCTGTTTTCTGTCTCATGTGTCCCGGTACAACATCCCCGCGTTGTGGTAACCAATTCATGTTGTTAAATGAAATGATCGTCAGCCAGTTCAAAACCGTGACCCCACTTTGCAGCACAGAGAATCTCTTAAATTTGTATTTTGCTTTTTACTTTTCTATGCTTTTTAAATTTCACTTGATTCTCTCAAGAGTTCTGTGTAGTAGGTGGGTGGGTTTAATATGATCACTTTCCAGGTGGGAAAGTACAAAGACCCACTGCATCTATAGCATACTTGGGAGATCTCTCCAATTACACTGATTATTTGTGGTGAGGGTAATTAGATGTTAGGTGCATTGTTAATATTTTTTTCTCTTCTAGATTTCAACTTGAAGACAGCAGAGGGCGCCTGACCACACAAAAGGTACACTCTAAATGTTAATGATATATTAGATTTAAGATTATTCATTAAAGTTTCAAAAACGTGAATTTCACTAAAATAGGACCGTGTACTTCATCTTTCTACTATTTTAGGATTCTGATCTCATTTTAAGTGTTCTATTCTTTCTTGGTAATGAGAGTTTCAACCTCACGTAAATCACCATGACACTATTAATTCCAAGAGCCTTCCAACTGAGCTTCAAGATTCTTTCAGATAATAAGAGTACAAAATCCTCCATCTATCAGATCCTTCCAAATCCTCAGCAGGGCATAGGCTCCCCCTTCCGTAGCTCTTAAGAGGCGACCACTGTAATGTGTTGCAGACAGATGCGCTGTGACTGAAGGGCCATCTTACTTCAAGTGTATTGCCTCCAGGTTACCCAGTATTCTCAGAAAAGTATAAAAGGATTAGGCATGCTCTTAGTCATATTGCACTAGAGGGAAGGTAACGGTTTTTGAGGAGCACTAGTGAGGCTTTCGCCATTTGTAGCTCATTGTTGAAGGTGATTATGTCTGCAGGTTCAGGGGCCAGGGTACTGTGAAATTCTGCAGCTCCCTTCCAGTTGGCTTCTAGCTGGTTCTTTTCTCTATCATCTCACGTGTTCTCACATTCTCCTACAATCGGTGCTGGGGACGGCGGCAGCCGGAATCCTATTCCACCTCCCCATCCTCCCCACCCCCCGTAGTTCCCCAAATTTTATTTTTCTTCTTTTTTTTTAAAGATTTAATTTTTTTTTTTTTCCTGTACGCGGGCCCCTCCTGTTGCGGAGCACAGGCTCCGCACGCGCAGGCTCAGCGGCCATGGCTCACGGGCCCAGCTGCTCCGCGGCACATGGGATCCTCCCGGACAGGGACACGAACCCACGTCCCCTGCATCGGCAGGCGGACTCTCAACCACTGCGCCACCAGGGAAACCCTAAAGATTTAATTTTTAAATTTATTTTTAGCTGCGTTGGGTCTTCGTTGCCGTGCGCGGGCTTTCTCTACTTGTGGCGGGCGGGGCTACTCTTTGCTGTGGTGCGTGGGCTTCTCCTTGTGGTGGCTTCTCTTGTTGCAGAGCACGGGCTCTAGGCGCATGAGCTTCAGTAGTTGTGGCTCAAGGGCTCTAAAGCGCAGGCTCAGTAGTTGTGGCGCACGGGCTTAGTTTCTCCGCTGCATGTGGGATCTTCCCGGACTAGGGCTCAAACCCATGTCCACTTCGTCGGCAGGAGGATTCTTATCTACTGCGCCACCAGGGAAGCCCTATTTTTCTTCTGAAAGACTAGGTTAATGGACAAGGCTTGGAGTTGGCTGAAAAAGCATTCCTCCCTGGCTGCTCAGAGATTAGTAAGTTGATTGGATCTAAGTTGATTTTGTTACCGATTAGGATTCTTGGACTCCTTAATCAATAGAAATTGATAAGAGGCCAGAGAAGAAATTCAGGCAAGGCTTTATTGGGACTTGTGCTGCAGCACGAGGGAGCGAAACCAAGTAGCAGGATCCTTTGCTCACCCCCTGACGGGGGATGGGGGTGGGGGGGCGAGCTTGTACCTTACATGGGGTGAGGGCAGAGGCGGGTCCACGTGTTGGTCCCCAACAGTGGCTTGGGTGGTCTGACCCCCCAACTTGGCGGTGCTAAGTAGAGGGATCATTTGCAGTACCTGTGCTTTGCTTCCTGACTCCTCAGAAGTGGCAGTTGGGTCTTTGGTCCTTTTGTATCTTGTTCATAGTTTGCCCCAACTGCCACATGCATGCAGTTTTTGTTGTTGTTGTTGTTGTTGTTTTTCATGCAGTTATTTTTAATCCCTTAGTTTCTTTGTATTCTGTTTGGACGAGATTTGTCCAGGTGCAAGCACTGCACCAAAAGGTCCCAGGTCTCAGCCTGTCTCAATTTCTTTAAGGCTGAGCCTTGTGGCGGTTCACCCACAAAGTAGGAAAGGAGATTATTTCCTGATTTATGCTTTCCCTTTGCCAAATGTTTGCTTGTGCTTGTCCTTAATTTGTCCTGTTTCCTTGATCACAAGCCCAAATATGACATCTTCTAAGCAATGAGAAGCGTTTTCACTCTGCTCTGTCCAAACCATAGCATTCCACGTTCTACCTGTGGTTTTTCCCATTTACTAAGTCGTTTGAGTCAAATGCTAGCGGGCGGTTTGGCTTCCCAGACTTGGAACACTGACTTCTCTTGGAGGGGGTGTCATCAGCCCTGCTCGATCATGGAGAAACAAGTCGCCTCACACAGGACACTTAAGGAGTCACCTAGAAGGCGGACTGGCAGGGCTGTTTTTCTTGCTGAGCACAGTACCCTCAGCCCCTAACAATATCTGGTGCTCAGGGTCTGCGAATCCTTTATAAGGGCATAAGCGTTTCTGTGGGGAACGAAGGCACAGCAATCATTTGACTCGTACAAGGGTTCGCGCTGACAAAACGCGGCTCATTTACCAAGTCACCCAACTGGGTCACTGTGCAATGTGCATGCACTAAGCAATATGCGTAAACACGGCAGAAACTGAAGCCAATCTTCAGGCCCGGGCCCGGTGGCGGCGGAAACAGCAGGCATCGAGTCCCCGGGAGGAGGTCTCCGAGCTGAGGGCGGACGGCACGGGGACGGAGACGGGGCCCCACTGCTTCCAGGCGGACGCCACCCAGAGCCCGAGGCCCTCAAACCCGTCTCCAAAGGCGGAGCACAGACAACCAGTAAAACATCCATCCCCGGGGCGAGGCCCGCCCGCCCCGCCCGCTCCGCCCGCCCGCCCCGCCCGCTCCGCCCGTTCCGCCCGTTCCGCCCGCTCCGCCCACTCTCTCGGAAGCGCGCGGTGGGGGCGGACCGGAAGTGACGTGCTTTCTGCGCGCCGCCTAGCACGTATTTTTTGCGCGCTGCGCGCCGCTCGAGACTTGCAGGCGTCCCGGCATCTCCTCTGACCCGGCGCGATGGGCAAGAAGGGCAAGAAAGAGAAGAAGGGCCGCGGGGCGGAGAAGACGGCCGCCAAGATGGAGAAGAAGGTGTCCAAGCGCTCGCAGAAGGAGGAGGTGAGCGGGGCCGGAAGGCGGGCTGGCCTCCTTCGTCCCGGTTCTCGTGCGTAGCCGGGCCCCCTGTGCTGGGCGCTGGGAGGGGCCGGGCTGAGCGGGCGCGCCTCTGCAAGCCTCAGCCCTCGATTTTAAAAGAGGGTACGTGATCCTCACGGCAGCCCTGAGCAGTGAGCGTCAGTGGAATAGGTAAGTGGAACTGTGGGGCGTTCCAAAACAGTTCTCTGTGTCTCTCTCCGTCTCTGTCTCTCTTTCTCCCTCCCTCCCCCTCTTACTCTCTCCCCCTCTTTCTCTCTATCTTTAGAAGTGTGTACACATGGATCAGTGCTAAGCTTAGAGGAGCGCTCTCTGCTCTTAATTGACTGTTGTTCACGGGCTCCCTAACCCGGGGCGGTTTATAGTGGTTAATGAGTGTTTGCTGCGTGCCAGGCATTGTGCTCTCTGGGCTTTAATTCTTACAACCAATTTAGTTAGGTAGCTTTGGCGTCCCCATCTGACAGGAAGTCAGAAGCTAACAGGTTACACGCAGCTCAGGGTCACACAGCTGTGAGGTGGCTTGGAGCTGGAATTTGATCGGGTGTCCCTGATCCAGAGCTCTTAACCACATACCCTTGTCCCTTTTCTTCCTAAGGCATTCGTGTCTCCATTTCCTCATCTGTCAAATAATGGGGTTGAGCTTTTTCTCTCCCTGTCTCCTATTATTTTAAGCGAGTGGTCTTGGGGGACAACTTGGAGTTCTGTCCAGTGCAGAACTCATGTCTCAGATACCTGGTTGACACCTGCAAGTGGCTGTCGCGCAGATTCCTCCCCTTCTACACTGTCCTATTGAAGCTCCATCTCTTCACCCTGCTGGGGAGACCTACATCACCTGGGCTCACTCCCCTCCAGCCACACAACCCTGTGCTGTGTCTCAGATATGCCACCTTCTTTCTGCACCTCAACCCCAAATACATTCTTCTACACTGGCTCCTTTTCATCTTTCAGCTTGTTGTCACCTTGGAGAGGCTTTCCCAGACTAGGCTGCCTGTGCTACCAGACCTGCCCTGTCCCAGCCCCTCGGCCCCGTGATTGGGATGCTCAGCCGCTTGAGAAGTGCTGCCTTAGAGTGGTAGGAGGGAAGCTTACCTGGCTCCTGGACCTTGTTTTAATCTGGTGAGATTTGTTCAACGTGCGGGCATGGGGAGCGGCTACTAGATTAACTGGCGAGATGTGGAGGAGGTGGGGGTTGAAGCGAGTCACCCGACAGCCACCGAACCAAAGTTGGGTCCCCTTGCCTGCACGCAGCAAAGCCAACCTACAGACCCTGGGTTGTGGTGAGGGAAACTGCGGGGTTTATTGCAGGTGCCCAGTAAGGAGTCCAGGCAGCTGGTGCCCAAAAGACCCGACCTCCCCGAAGGCTTTTAAGGAAGGTTTTTAAAGACAGGGTCAGGGAGGGGGTGCTGTGGGCTGTGTGATCAGCTTGTGGACATTCTTCTTGTTGGTTGGTGGTGAGGTCATCGGGAGTCAACATCATTAACCTGTTTCCAGCCCGTCTGGGGTCTGCGTTCCGGTGGGCAGCATGTAGTTAACTTCTTCCACCTGGTGAGGGTTTCCATGTCTGCGAAACAGCTCCCAGGACATGGCACGGAGTATCAAATGCAGCTGTTGAGGAGGGACTAAAGATCCTTGACTTTAAGATCAAACTATTATTATTTTGTCCTCCTTGACTCTTTTTCTTCTTTCTGCATTTTCTCCCTTCTCTGATTAAATTTATTCTTTGGAACTCGGGAAGGCCTAGGAGGCTAAAGTTTTTCTACAGACAAGAGGCAGGCAGAGGACATGTTGGCGGGGGGGCGGGGGGGGGAGGGGTGCGGTTTCTTGTTCCCGGAAGGCTTCATAGGGTCCTGCTCAGTTACACGACGGCAGAGCCTGTGCTCCTAACTAAGGGGTCGACGAGGCCTGCTCCCAACCAGAGACACCGTGCTCGTGCCTGCCCTCGCGTGACGGGGTTTGATGCTTCCTGCCGGCCTAGCCAGGTGGGTGTCAGTGCCACTCGCCCCAGGACTGATACAGCAGCTCTCCCTCCAGGCCTGCCGCTGCTCGTCGCAGCCACGCCTTCCTCCCACCTTGTTCCCGTCTTCCCTTCTCCCTTTAAGGAAGACAATTTCCCGGGTGAGTGACAGTGGACTGGGAGCTCTGAGCTTACTGAGGCCCCAGCAGTCACTTCTCCACGCACGTCTTCCTGTAAGGGTGCAGCGGTTCAGTAACTTATCTTGAGTACCTAATTACATGTAGGAGTAGCAGAATGACGGGTGTTTTTGTGGACTCCCGCGAAGGTGAAAATTGGTAGAGCCAGTTGGGTCCTAATTTGTCAATACCTAGAAAAGTGGAAGCTACAACCTAGCAGTTACCCACCTAGAGGTTTACTTTGGAAAAATTACCCCCAGCTACACAAAGACAGGTACTAGAACGGCCGAGGTAGTATTTCTTGTAAAAAAGAAAATTTTGGAGTTGACCCAGATGTTCAGCAGCAGCTGGATGGTGCAGAAGCCATGTAGCTCCGCCACCATGACGACGAACGGGTTCAGGGCATCAGACCTTTCTTTCAGCAGTGTTAAGCAGAAAAGCAAGTTGCAAGGGAATGTTCAGTACGATAACATTTACATGGAATTGAAAAACCTAAAACAATAACGTACGTAGTTTAGGGATACATAACGTGTAGTAAAAGTATAGAGAGATGGTGTGAGAGTAACGAGCCCTCCGTTCCAGAGAGTGGCTGCCTTCGGGAAGGTGAAGGGGGTACACACGGTGGGGGCGGGGTTGTGGGTGGCTGTTCAGGCCCAGGGGGTGTGATGCTCTGAGGAAAGGAGCTGAGAGGAAGCCAGTGCGGCTGGGAGAGTGAGGAGGTGGGGTGGGACGTGAGGCAGACGAGGGAGGGAGAAGGGTCTGGAAGACCTGCTTTCAGGCCCTGCAGAATGTGGAGCCTGGGAAGGAGAGCCGGGGTAGTGTGGGGTGGGGTGGGATGGGATGGGAGGAAGAATGTGGGGGACGGATGCCAGGTGTCAGCATGAGCAAGGTGCTGGGCTGAGCATTGAAGAGAAGGATGGGAGACTTTCCCGTGACAGACATCATGCATCACTGCGGGGTGGGCGGGACTACTGTAAATGCAGGGACTGAGGGCGGGAAGACTGAGTGCCAGTGCTACCCAGCTGTGCACGGAAATGGGCGCCTTAACGTCTAAATTGGTTTCTGCGGTCCTTCTGCGAAGGTGGAGGCCTTCGTACACGGATTGTCTGCAGCTGAGAGATGTCGGGCCCCCACCGCGCAGGCGCCGTTCTAAGCAGACTGACGTGTCTGGTTCATTTGGAGCTTATGTTTTATGTTGGTGGGAGGGAGGTGGCAACAAAATAAATAAGTGAGCAAGAAAACATCAGACCCTGCTCTGCAGACAGCAAAGCAGGCTGGTGCGGTAGCCCAGGCCTGGGTTTCCAGGGGTGGCTGAAGGTGTTGGCGTGAAGCTGGGTGGGCTTGTCTGAGAGGAAGGCCTTGGGGGGCGGGGTGAGAGTTTGGAAGGAGGTGATGCACATGCCGTGCGCGGAAAGGTCAGGCCCTGAGCATTTGCGCGTGTGTCAGGTTCTGTGTGTTTGAAATGGGAGAAACAAGTTGTAATTCACTGATGTGACTGGACCCCGGTCAGGTCAGAGGGGCTGGGGAAAGCTGACCCAGGCATCTGGCCCCGTGATAGGGTTTAAGAAAACGTCTCACGTGTGGTGGCTTGTCTGTCTATAGGAGGACCTCGAAGCCCTCATAGCCCACTTCCAGGCTCTCGATGCCAGAAAGACTCGGATCGTGGAGACACCCTGCTCCCCACCTTCTCCAAGGTAAGCAGCACGGACTCTCCAGTGTAGCTTCTGACCTGAAGTTTTCTGGTATAGATTGGAAAAGTGCTTGAAGTAGGCACCGTGTTTTTGTAAGTAACCAGGCACTTGGGACATTTTCATCATGAAAACCCGCCAGATCAGCTCCCACAAAACATTTTTTTCACTTCCACTTAGGAAGAATGGGAGTGAGGCAACGCAGCTTCGTTGTCGTGTAGAAACACAGTAATGAGCTCTCCTGGCACAGCTGCTCTGCCGGTCAGGGAGGTTGTGTGGGCTTGGTTGCTCGCCACCTGGTGACGGTCTGTGGGCAGTCCGTGAGCTTCTCCTTGCTTCTTAGGTTTCTAAAGGCCCATCACGGTGCGAAACTTAAAATCGTGATAGCTTTTTGCTGTGTTCGTTCATAATGCTTTCAAATTCTCGTGTGAAAAGTGTGACCATTTAGCGTAAACTGTTAGCCATTTTAGGTGGGTTTGTAGTTTATGTGAGGAGCTCCAGCATCTTTTGTAGGATTTGAGACCCTGTGGAAGGAGCAGGCTGTGGGGTTTCTTTTGTTTTTTAAAAAAATAATTAATTAATTTTAGGCTGCATTGGGTCTTCGTTGCTCTGTGCGGGCTTTTTCTAGTTGCAGAGAGTGGAGGCTACTCTTCATTGCGGTGTGCAGTCCTCTCATTAAGGTGGCTTCTCTTGTTGCCGAACACAGGCTCTAGGCGCGTGGGCTCCAGTAGTTGTGGCTCGCGGGCTCAGTAGTTGTGGCTCGCGGGCTCTAGAGTGCAGGCTGAGTAGTTGTGGCGCACGGGTTTAGTTGCTCTGTAGCATGTGGGATCTTCCCGGACCAGGTCTCAAACCTGTGTCCCCTGCATTGGCAGGTGGATTCTTAACAACTGCACTACCAGGGAAGCCCCAGGCTGTGGTTTTCACTGGCTTCTTGCTCCTTTCTTCTTGTCCCCTTGGCTCCAGAATGCCAGTTCTCTAATTTGATCATGGATTCAGGCTCAATAGTTCTTACACTTGCTCCTAGCAGAGCAGAGGCCGGACACGGAGTACATCAAGCTAGGAGCCCAGGGAGGCTGAGTGACCCTGATAAGGAGATGCCGTGTCCTTTGGAGAAGGGGAAATGCCTTAACTGCACGAGCATCCGGGGCTGTCTTGATCAGTTGAGAAATGATTTGCTTTGTTTCCCTCAGGCCTGAGTGGACGCCTTGGTCTAGCACCTCAGGAAGGGAGGTGGTAAGAGTGCCCCCTCTGCTTCAGTGGGTGCAGGGCATGGCCCCGAATCCCACGACTTGGCCCCCGGCGTGCGATCATTACCTGTTCAGGGTTGGGAGCAGTGTGCTTACCCCTGAGCAGACACAAGCGACTGTGCAGCCGCTCCCAAAGTTGCAGATCCTTCTTATTCTTTGGCTCTTAAATTCCGTTAGGAATCTGCTATTATTTTCTTTGTGTTTATCACGTTATCGTTGAGGCCAAGCATAAGAGTCACACGTGGTCGGTGGACGTTTTCATCTGAATTGTTGAAGCGGGTAAGTCCTTGAGACCTTTGAGGCTTTATCTGTACAGCACCCTTGAGGGAATTCACTTTGAATGTGGGTTCATTTTTTTGGATGACATTTTTCCTAAAGTATGCTGCCCAAAAAGGCCAGGTGTAATGTCACAATGTGATGTGAGACATTGGCAGTTCCATGGGTCAGCTGGGAAGCCTCCTGGCAGAAGGGAGCAGTTGGAGCTGAGATCTACTGGGATGCAGACGTTTCGGTGGTAACCTTAGTACCTTCTCACCTCCACCTCTCTATCGCATTACGGGGAAAAACCCATGAAAACTACCAAGTTTAAGTGTGTGCGTCCCCACGTCTTGGCTCAGAGGTAGTTTAATGGGGACATGAGGATGAGGTGCTTGGTTGTACCAGAGCCCAGGGTGCACTTTCTTGACTTGAGGGTTTGGCTACAGCGTTTCTCACCCTATAGAACGTCTCTGTCTACATTAAATCCCCAGGAGAAAACGTTTTCAGATTTCCCAGACTTCCTTGACCTTGAAACCCTTTTCCCTTTGAGAAGCGTCCTGTGGGATTAACGTGGTGGAGGGCACCTTGGGGAATGCCGCTCTAAGGGTTTCTGCAAGAAGGGTATTTTCCCTCTCAGTCACCATACCCTTCATTACTTCCTGCTGCAATGGTCAGGACCTCCTTACAATTCCCTTATGGCTATTCCCTTGTCCTCGTGTGTGAAGTAAGTAGAAAAGTATTTGCATTTTCTAGATGGAAGGGATCTGGGTTGTATATTGAAATGCTTCAATACTGGACCTCTTAGAACAGTTTAGATTGTGATTTAAGAGGATAGACCTTTGAAACAGGACAGTTCTGGAAAATTGGCACATGAATAGGAGCCCCTGGACTTCCCACTGCTGCTGATTTTCAGCCAAACGCTGTGTGAGTAGCCCCTGCCCTCGTAAGAGACTGAGCCGGGGTGTTAGCGTCTTGACGGTGAGGCTGCTTTTAAGGGCGGTGCCTCAGCTTCTGTCCTCAGCGCCAGGCTCCTCTTTCACAGAAGTTTAGGACAGGCACGTCCCTGGTGGTGAAGCCCTCTGATGGAAAGGAGAGCGGCTCTCAGCTTGGGCGTCACGCGGTTTGATTTTGTGTTGAGCTGCTGCTTGTGTCTCTTGCAGGTTAAGTGCCTCACTCTGTGCTCATCCTGAGAAAGAAGAATTAATCCTTTTCGGAGGTGACTGTTTCAGTGGCCAAAAAGTTACGTGTGTATCCCCTCGTTCCCTCCAAGTTTGCATGGGTCTCATTTAGAGGAAACTTCATTTTAAGCTGATATCAGATATTCATGGTCCTTGAGCTCCCCTCTTGTGTGTCTACATGTCAGGACTGGCCTGGGCCATGGTCCTTGACAAGCCACCAGGGTCCTTTAGGGACCTTTAGGGTCACGTCTCTTACCGCCTGCGTGAGGTGGGCCAGTACCCTGCTGTTCTTCCTCATGATGGGTTTCCAAAGGTGTTTGAATAGGGAAAGTGCTGATCAATTGCAGAGCAATTGATAAATTGTAAAACCTGTAATTTTTATTTTTGAGCAGACCAGAAAGCCCTGGGTTTCAGAGCTATAGATGAAACAGTTCCAAAATCCTGAGTTCGCCTTCCCTGCATGGCGGTCCAGAGATGGTCTTTGTCATTGTGTCATCACCCTGAAGGGTCCGGGGACCAGCCTTAGAAAACACGTTTCCTGAGGAGAGCTAGTGATTGAGATCCTAGTTCCACTTGCTGTCGCTTGTGTGGAAGCACCATTCGTGACGCTAAAGTACCTCTTCCTTTCTGCAGACTTTTTTATATAATGAACTCTACATCTACAACATCAGGAAGGACGCCTGGACTAAAGTCGAAATCCCCAACCCACCCCCGAGGCGTTGTGCTCACCAGGTACGTGTCCGTATGGCCATCAGCCTCCCCTCCTCTCTCACTGGGGCTCTGGCTCAGGATTCCACGACAGACCTTTAGAGCTGGTAATGGCGGGTAGCCTGGTATGGAGACGCTGGACCTTGCCCCTGGTCCTCACTCTGCCGCCTCCAACTTGGCCTTGTTTCTGAGCTGCTTCACCCTTAGCCTTCACCTGTGAGGCTGGAGATGAACTCTTGCTCCTGCAGGTGGTGTGAAGCCAGGTAAAAATACCGACGTGGTGCCTGGCGTGGAGCAGTCAGAAAAAGGCTCTTGTATTTGAGTGAGAGAGGCTCCCACAGGCCCAAGATCTGGTGACCAGAGAGATGAAAACAAGAAGACAGAACGGAAGGTGTCAGTGGCTACAGAAAGTAGCTACTGCAGAGTGAAGTGAGCCGTGCCCAGGGACGCTGAGGGAGCAGCGCCAGGTCGGCGTGCTTTCAGCTCGTTTCCGCTCACCCCAGCGAGCTCCTTCAGAGCCGATGACTTACCAGGGAAGGCGTCCTGGTTTCATGGTTCCACATTCGTACGCTCCACGAGGACAGGCGTTGGTCTTTCTTGTCCATTATTGTACCCGGGGCAGTGTTGGGGCTCAAAAGGTAATCTGAAAGAGTGATACCTCTCCAGTGTCAGCCTACTGCGGCACGACTGAAACATCCCTCCACAGTGTGTGTTTCTCTTTTTTCTAATCCTGTGCTCAGAATAGCCTCCCGATTGAAATGGGGTCTGTGAGGGGGAGCTGACTGCCTGAACTGCATAGGCGTCTCGTGCATAGCCGGGCTTGCAGGCATTTGGACTGGTTCATCTTCTGGAAGAGAGGCATGCACTGCTTTCTGATTTAAAAACTATAACTTAGTAAGACTAATAAATGGATCTTGATAAGTTCTAGTCCCTTCGCCGGAGCCCTCTCCAGTTCTGAGAATGCATCCACCCCAGGCCTCCAGGCCAAGCACTTAGTCCTGTCCTGGCCCATCCTGGCCCATCCGGTGGGGAGTGCTCCCCGCTCAACGCCTCTCCAGTTCCTGGGCCCCAGGAACGCAGACTGAGGGGCTTCTTTGGTGTTCGTTTTCTTATCCGTTTTAATCAGTAGTTAACTCTGTCCTTGAAGTCTTAGTGTCATTGAGACTTTTGACAAAAAGTCTGAGGTTTTTAAGTAAGTTACTTTGGCAGGCTCCGGTTTGTGTGTGCATCCTGTGAGTACTTTATGAGTCTGAGGCTTATTATCCCTGTAGATAAGGTTGGCTTGCTGTTTACTCTGTGAATTTCACACCAAATCAGGGCTGTGGGAAACAGATAATTGCTTATAAAGTCTTTTGCCTAAAGGTCATTACAGTTCAAATTCCACTACGTTAAATTCTGAGACATAAAAATTTCCTCACGGGACTTCCCTGGTGGTCCAGTGGTTAAGACTCCGTGCTCCCAACACAGGGGGCCCGGGTTTGATCCCTGGTTAGGGAACTAGATGCCACGTGCTGCAACTGAGACCCGGTGCAGCCAAATAAATAGATAAATAAATATTTAAAAAAGTTTTCTCCTCATGATGGACTAGGTTATGAATGTGATTATAGAAGCCATGTTCTTTATCTTGAATCAGGGGCAAAATGAGTAGAAAGAGAAAGCTTATACGTGGACCCTTCGTTCTGTCTTTTCTCTAGATTTTTGGGGGGTTATTTTATTTTGTTCATTCATTCATTCGTTCATTTAGCTGTGCTGTGTGGCTTTTGGGATTTTAGTTCCCCAACCAGGGATCGAACCCATGCTCCCTGCATTGGGAGCGTGGAGTCTTAACCCGGGACTTCCCTGGTGGTCCAGTGGTTAAGTTATTTTAGCGTGTAATTTGAGAGTTCAGTGGCCTTTTCTGAAATGAATACAGCCAGTGAGAGAAGGGAAAGGGTCATGAGGCCCATTGAAGGTGTGCCTGACGACGACCTGTCAGGCCTCACCTGTCAGGCTTTGGCAGGTGCTCCCCTCCTGGCACCCTCCCTTGGGGAGAATGTTCAGACGCTCCTGCCTGGACGGGCTGACGGGACTGTTGAGGATTGAGGCGTGGGGGAGTGGGAGGTGCGGGCGCAGACGGAGTTCACATTTTGTTACTTGCCTGATGGTTTGTTTCTCCCCAAGCAATGACTAACTAAACTCACTTGAAACAAAATGCATTCTCTCATACAGTAGAACAGAAGGTTCCTTATGGTTAAAAAAATGTCACCTCCGTTCTCGTCGGCCTTGGTGCAAGCATGAGCAGTAAGCCGTTTATGTAGAAGAGTTAGTGTTTACAAAATGCCTGTTCCTGCGTGAGCAGAATTGCACCGACAGTGCCCACATGAGCTGCAGGGAGTGTTTTCCTCCAGCTCACACAGCTTCGTTGCCGTCCATCCGAGAAGGTGTTGCAGGCTTGTTCCTTGGGAAATTCTGAGCATCTTTAACATGCAAGGCACTCTTCTAGAGCTGGGCTACAGCGACAAAAAAGACACACTTGCCGTTCTTGGTGATGTCCCATATTTTGTGTTTCCTTTGGTCCTGATGGCCTGGCACGTTTTTAGGACTTGGCTTTCAGAAAGCTGACGTATATGTGGCTGATGTCAGAATCCATTCACAGAGCCTGTATGTTGTTTGGACTCCATTGTGCCTTTTTTTGGAGAGTTGTGAAGTTAAGGTTTTCTAGACATGATTTTATTCCGGTTAAGACAACAATACAGAAACCCAAACACCTGGGAAGCATACAGCCTCGTGGGACAAGTAGCAAAGTAGATGCTGGCTAGGACAGCCCTGCCTTGTATGGGGAGCAGTGCCGTCCTACTTTGGTCTCTGGGCAGTGCTTTGCCTCTGTTAGATCCAGGGAATGTTGGTTGTTTACATGTTTGTTTATTATGTTCATGTTTTCTCCTAAGTCTTTGGACATATTTATAACTTTTCAAGTCCTTGTCTGCTGATTCTCTCATCTGTATCATTTCTGGTCTCTTTGTGTTGACCAACTTTGTTGATGTGGGTCACATTTTTCTGCTGGAACTGTGTGGTTAGATGATAGACTTTGTGGATGCAAAAGCAGATCTTAGGGAAGCCTGGGCAAGCCCCAAAGCTGAGATACACCCCTGAGCACTAGGGCGGTTCTTGTTTTTTCAGATTCTCACATGTCTTCGCATTCACAGCATTCCCCTGGGGTCTTCATACTCCTCCTCTGTCAGCTTGTCCTTGTTGAGGTGCCTTCTGCAGTTTCAGCCTGGCCCACAAGGAGACAGCGTCCTCAGTCTGTGTCACGCTAGTAAAGTGGGTGGTGTTTGGGATGCCCAGGCCCCTCCTGCCATGAGCGTGGCGCTATTCAGCAGAGGGCAGCTGGAGGGCCGACCGTCTCGCTTGTTTTCATTCATCAACAGATGGTGAGTCTCATTCTGGTGGGTGGCGCAGCCTCGTGCACATCACCATGAGCCTCTGGAGGCTCTCGAAGAATGGTAGCTCTATGGCGTGGCCTCGCTGGGGTCTCTAGTGAACGCCCTGGGTATTCAGTGGCACCTGTCACTCTGCTTGGAACTTGTCTGTCTCCGAGCCCCCTGTGAGCTCAGGTCGTTTTCAAGTTTTCAGCCTCACGGTGATGGTGCCCACCGTGTGCCCGGCCTCGGGTGGTCTCAGTCTGCACACGTGCAGCTTGGTGTTTATGGGCTCCCGGGGGACCCAGCCAGACTTCAGGGTGCTCGGCCCTGCAAATTCCAGCTGCCTCAGCATCCTGGAGCTCTGGCTTCTGTTTCCTCAGCTCAGCAGGACCACGAGGCTGTGAAACTGCCTGTGGGGTCAGACGGCTGACCTTGCCCGTTTACCGTGTCTCAGGATCACGGTCCTGCACGTCGTGCTGTCTGGCTGTCGTGCTTCATGGGTTTTGTCCAGTTTCCTCCTTGTTTACAGTGGGAGGGCTGGCATGGTGCTGATTGCTGAGCCTGGGCAGAAGTGGAAGTTATATGCCTGTCCCTATAGTTTGCATCTTCTCTTGAGTAGTATGTTAGCTCTTTCTTGGTGTTTATGGTCTTTGAGGAGGAGGTTAATACAGAGCCTTCAGATCACTGGCCATCAATCCACCTTCGTGTCGTCCCCAGAGTTCTGCTTGTGATGGGACGTGGGAGACACACTCTGGTCACAGTCTTTTTTCTTGCCTGGAGTTTGACTTCATTTTTTAAGAATGACTCTGAAAACTGATTATGTAAGTAATAAATATTCATTGTGAAAAAAAAATGAAGATAATGAAAGCAGAGTAAGTCCATTGTCCATTCTTCCAGAACTCCTAGTTTATATTTTCTGCATCTTTTCTCTGCATCTGTGATTCATATTTCTATGCATTTCATATTAGTTGGACTGTACACGTACATACGTGTGTATACGTGTGTGTGCCCGTATGTGCACGTGTGTGTGTATGTATATATACATATGTTCTCCCTGTACTGTTCTTCCCAGTTAATGCATTATTTGTGGTGGTATCCTGGGACGTTCAGTAGCTTCTATAATATGATATTTCAAAACTACATTGTATCGAGTAGCGTGAAAGTACTACCTAAACTTCATTAAGCTCAAAAAAACGTGTTAGGTTTGGGCCTGAGCTAATCCTCACGTCTGGTTTAAAGATTTGAAGTGGTCAGTTTCTTTCTTTATAATTACTGGGGTTTTAGAGTCCTAGGAAGCTGGCTTGTCTCGATAGGTCAGTCCTGAGAGGATGCACAAGACTGAGTGAAAATGGTGGTGGTGGGGGGCACATCACCCTAAGTGTGTCACCAGGACCCTCCAGTTAGTCCAGGACAGGAGCAGCATCGGTGATGGAGCCGCAGTTCTGCAGCGTTAAGCTTAATTAAGCGAAGGACCGCACTGCAGTGCAAGCCCCAGGGTGCTCGGAGGGTGCCCGGGGCGGGCCTTCTGGGAACCACCATCTGACCGCCCACTGTGTGCTTGCCCGTGGCGGTTTGCGAGGGCAGGAGGCATTCACACGGGCTGCTTTGGAGCACCTGGCGTCTAGCTGCCCCCGACCCAGTTCCCCTGCCCCGGCCACACTGTGCCTGCTGCCGTTGGCACTGCATGTGAGCCCCTGGCCAGACGGCCCCTCGACGGGTTCCCGTCCTGCACCCCCTTGGTGTGAAGGACAGGCCCAGTTGCCTCCTTCGCTGTCTGGGCCCAGGGCTGGTGACTCTCAGGGCGGGCTGGCCCACCAATGGCTTGTGTGGCTCTGTCAGCCCAGGCGGTCCCGCCTCGTTCCCACGTGGCCTGTGAGTCCTGGGCCTTCAGCAGAACCACAGAGGGGCAGGATACGAGAAGGACCTGACGGGGCAGGCATCTGAAGACGAGGTCAGGGCTTGGCACCGGGTGTTCTGGGGGAGGGGCTCCGGTTTTCCCCGAGAGCTGTATGGCTGTGCCCTGACCTGTCACCATTCTCTCAACAGGCTGTGATGGTGCCCCAGGGCGGCGGACAGCTGTGGATCTTTGGCGGGGAGTTTGCCTCTCCCGATGGAGAGCACTTCTACCACTACAGGGACCTCTGGGTCCTGCATTTGGCCACCAGGACGTGGGAGCAAGTCAGGTAAGGTGAGGAGCGTGACCCCTGGGCCCGCCCCTGCCCCATGCCGGCATCTGGGGTTCACGGTGACGGGGTCGGCTCTTGTGGGATAATTCCAGCCCTCTGAGGAGCGCGGTTGCCCCGCCTGGGAGACCAGTCTGGCTGGTGACCAAAGTGAGGGAGGAGCGTCCCCTTCGCGGAGCGGCCCGGCCCGGTGCTGGCTGCCTGACATCTGGCTTCGTGGAAGGCATTGCCAGGGTCTCTGGGACCAGCGCCGCATCCGGGTTCGTTTTCCTGGTCCTCCCTCCCCTCGTCAGCGTCAACAGTGGTCATGTTTTCCTGCAGTTCTCCTGTCCGTTTATCGCCCCAGAGGCAGCTCTGGGTTTCATCTTGCTGCCCGTGGAGTGCCGTGTCACTGAGAGGAAGTATCCGGCTAGGTCTGTTTGACGTAGGAATAGTGGAGCGTATAAGAGGAAGGACAGGGAAGCCTTTATGTCACTGTTGAATAAAGAAGGCTCGGCCATCGTTGGTGCTCGATTCCTGCTTCTGTCGGTGACATTGACGTGTGGTTGTCACGTTCACCCCTGCAGTCTCCGTGGCCAGAGCCACACACCTGACTCTGTAGAGAGACGGACGGTGTGTCTGCGTATAAATTATGTACAAGAAGAAGCCTAGTAGCGTGACAGACTGAAAGTCGAGTCAGTGGCTTTGCCCTCGTGGAGCGCATGCGTGGCTCTGGGGCACCAGCTCTGTGTTGTTAAAGCGGCCGCCAGGCTCCCCGCCTCAGCGGAGTGGAATTCGGGGGGGTACAGTGCTGCTGTCAGGTCCCGGGACTTGCATCCGAGGGAGGTCTCTGGAGGGTGTGCTCCGTGGTCCCCTGAGGGGCCTTTTAGGAGCCCGTGAACACCCGGCTGTCGGCCTGCTCAGATCGGCTTCCAGCCTGGAGTGCTAGACTAACCGTGTGAAGAGTTGACCGTGAGAGTGATTGGAAGGTGCTCAGAGATCCCCAAGCTCGCTAAGCTGCCGGGGAAGCTCTGGAGAGCAGTCCTAGTAAAGTTGGACCCAGGGTGAGCCTTGGTGTGCTCTCCCGAGCGCCGCCTGCATCTTCTTGTCTTACTTGCTTTGGGAAAGGCATGGCAACTAAGAACTTTTCATATTAAAAATTGATTTCATTGTGTATATGTTGAGACCTGGTCATTTTCATTTTCCCTGTAATTTAAAGAGTGTTCAGGCCCAGAGCATGTACCCTTTTTTGTCTTTCTTGCTTTGCTTCAGTTATTCTTTTCAAAATCCAGTTGTTATGTCTTTGTTCACTTCTGGCGAATCGGTTCTTGATGTTTTCGTTGCATTTTTGTCAGCTTTGGTAGCTTTTGCCTGTAGCGTATGGGTGAGGGACGGTGAACGGCCCCGTGGGGCCTGCAGCACCCGTGGGGCCTGGTGTTGATTGTGGTGGCATGTTGTGGGCTGTCCCGCAGTGCCCTGCCGGGCTGTGCTGTGGCGCGTGCTTTCTCGTGGCCTCCAGACCTTTCCGCTTCTGTGACAGGTATTGCAGGTGTTGGCTCCAGGGAAGCAGGGAGGCCCTAGTGCTGTGCAGTCAGTGCCCTTTGCAGAGCTCGCCGGGCCTGCTGTCCCGAGCCCCGCCTCACTGTGCGTCGTGAGCTGTGTCCCGGCGTTGTTGGCCTGGTTGCGCCTGCTCGGCATGCGAGGCCTCTGTCCTAAGTCAGAAGTCGTTCCTGATGAGCAGGTCTCTCATTACTTTTTTGCTGATTGTAATTAAAGTGGGAGAATTCCTAAAGGTATACTGGGGAACCTGCGAGATGCTAATGTGAAGGGGCAGAGACAGAACTGAGCTGCCTTTCTCGGCACCCCTGTTCTAGCCTGGATAGAGTGGTGTGGCAGGGAAAGGGTTAGGCGCTTTATTTTTTGTCTTTTTTGTCCACAGCATCTTTTTTTTGAGCCTACCTTCTGGGCCGTCATCTCTGGTTCTCGGTGGGGAGATGGGCAGCCGGGCAGAGCTGCGCTGAGCTGCTCTCTTCTGTGGCCAGGGTGCGGCGGTGCATTTCACCAGAGCCCGTGGTCCCTGCGGGGCTGAAAGTTGGGGCACGGAGGTCTGCCCCTGGCTTCCCCTCTTACCGTGTTTGCCGGGAGATTTTAGACGGCCAGCTCAGCTTCTGTGCTTCTGCTGCTTCGCGTGCCTGCGGTCCCCGGGTGCGTGGTGTTCGAGGCTGCCTCTGTTTTTAAGGCCCCTGGTGGGATGCAAGAAATCGGCAGCGGTGTGTGAGAGATACTGTGGGGTGACGACCTCCGTTCCCCTTTGCCGTCGTGGGCCCTGGGCTCGGTGCCTGGGCATGCGCACAGCCGCAGCCCTTCCCCTGCCCCGCCCCAGCGTGTTCTGTGAGACCAGCGAGGAAGGTGCGCCCTATGTGGCCCGTTCCTTGCTGTTACAGTGTCTGCAGCCACCGTGTGTAAGGAGCAAGCACGTCTCAGGGAAGGTTCCCTGAGTGAGTCACACACCGGAAGCCACAAGAGGGTGGCTGTCTGACCGTGGGAAGTGTTAAGGTTTTTGTATCAGGAGTGATGCCGCAGGAAAGTGGGAGTGGGGACAGGTTTACAGCGTGAAGCGAGCTCACGCTCAGGACAGAGACTTTGTGTAGGGTAGTGAGCAGCAAGCGGCTGGACGTGAGAAGGCAGCACGAGTGGCTCACACGGAAGGCCGGACTGTCAGGCGGCGAGGGCTGGGCGAGCAGGGGCCCCTCCCGCTGGCTGAAGTGTCGCCCGCAGCACCTGTGGTTCCAGCGTCCTGTTGCTTGCGCCTGCCCCTCGACCCCATGTGCACTGTAGGAGTATACCCTAAAGAAATGTTCCCTCTCATGTTGTACAAAAAAGCTTGTGCAGAAACCTAAGATACAGAGCAGCACGTGCCTGAGTGTGTGTGCATGCACGTGTGCCTGCAGACTGGGCCAGAGAGCCGGTGCAGGCACACATGCGTGCACACACGCAGTCCAGAAGGGTCTGGATGTTTCCGGGTTTTCTTCTGATTCCTTGATCTTCTCTTCCCACCTGTTCTAGTATTGCTCCATTTTAATCGCTATAGCTCTGTGGTTTATTTGGATAGCAGGAAGGTTTTTCTCATTTACTTAAAACATTTCTTTGTCATGCACTCATTTTTTTTTAATTTTTATATTTTTTTAATATTTGGTCGCATTGGGTCTTTGTTGCTGCCTGTGGGCTTTCTCTAGTTGTGGCGAGCGGGGGCTACTCTTCGTTGAGGTGCGTGGGCTTCTCATTGCGGTGGCTTCTCTTGTTGTGGAGCACGGGCTCTAGGTGCGCGGGCTTCAGTAGTTGTGGTGTGCAGCCTCAGTCGTTGTGGCTCGTGGGCTCAGTAGTTGCGGCTCACGGGCTCTAGAGCGCAGGCTCAGTAGTTGTGCATGGGCTTAGTTGCTCCACGGCATGTGGGATCTTCCTGGACCAGGGCTGGAACCTGAGTCCCCTGCATTTGCAGGTGGGTTCTTAACCACTGTGCCACCAGGGAAGCCCCACTCATTTTTTTTCATAAGAGCTTCAGAATGTTCAAGCTCTGTTTTATAAACGTTCCAGTGGGATTTCGATTGGATCGCAGTTTGTCGATTTCACCTAGGGAGAATTGACATCTGTCTAATCCTTAGCCTTCCCAGTCGGGAACATTTCACTTCTCTCCTCTTAGGAGTCTCAGTTAGGTTTATTTTTTATCCTCCAGAAACACTTAAACCGGCCCAGAGGTAGAGTTTCAAAGTCAGAGGGCATGTGTTCCTGGAGCCTTGTCCCCGGGTCTGACTTTCTCCCCAGGCACTGTGGGCACAGCTGTCTGCAGCGCACAGGTGTTTTGTCTGGGGCAGTTCTTACTTGTTCTCAGGGACCACCCTCGCTTCACAGTGTAGCACATACTTAGTCCGCGGGGTGGCTGCCCTGTCTGCACTTTGGAGGGGGTGTCTTAAAGAACTTCCAAGGTTTCACAGCAAGAGTCGGTGGTGGAGTGGCTGGGAGACTTGTCAGCCTGGGGAGATGGCTCAGAGCTGAGAGGATACCTCTCTGGGTGATTCTTGGGCTTCCTTGCACCGATTAGCACCTAGGGAGCTCTGAAAATGCATGTTCCTGTCCTCGTCCCCCTAAACATCAAGTTTGATTCAGAGCCGCTTTAAGATGGGGCTCAGGAATCTGCATTTGACAGTAACCCCTTCCCACCCCCCTTAGTGACCTTGATCCAGGCGGCCCTGGATCACAGCTGGAGGCCTCGCCTACTGGCGCATCTCATGCATATTTTGAGCACTGTTCACTAATGTGAAAACGTCGGCTGCCTTTTCAGAAGTAAGAGAACTCATGTAAAATGCCTCTTAGATCCTTAACAATGAAAAACGGTGTGGGTATTGCTTTTGTAATTTACTACTTATTCCACAATGAAAGCGTCGCCCCACTGTTGTTTGGCAGGGCTGTGCATGCTTAATTGACGAGACCCGGTGTAGCGGCGGAAGCAGGCCGACTAATTACTGAAGTTGGTCTATCGATCCTGGGGGCTGGGTTACAGCACGTGGGGTTTTGCCTTGGAGCTGCCGCCACTGGGAACTGGGCTTGGTTATTAATAGGCAGACACAATGGCTGCTGTCTCCTCTGTAATTTTTTCTTACTGACCTAAAAGAAAAGGGAAGGCGCTTCAGCCAAAATGAAGGCTGATATTGCTATTTCTGGGGAAGATCACTGAGTCTGGGGGAATCCACACGGTGTGAGCTCAAATCATGGGAAAAGTGCAGGAAGAGGTCACTGTGAACCGAATTTATTCAGTCTCCAGGACTTGGCCCGGCACTCTGCATTCTTTTTGCCATGCTGCACGGCTTGCGGGATCTTAGCTCCCTGGCCAGGTTTTGAACCCTCACCCTTGGCAGTGAGAGCACCGAGTCCTAACCAGGGAATTCTGTGCATTCATTTTTTAGGAAACATTCTTCACTCCCGTGGGGGTAGTTTTACGTTTGGGGAGACTGAGACCAAGAAAA